TGGTTCTACTAATTCTAACAAAATGCCCGATGTATAATTCCCATCGGCTCACGTCATATTTCGTTGTAAACCCTTCTGGTCGTAGATTGCATCTATTCACCAAAATTCATTTTACCAACTTTTCTTCGCCATTTTATTTCTTGAATTTACTTATATCTTCGCGTAACCACTTCTGCTGAATGACCGATTGCACCACGTTATTCCTCTCATCACGTGAGAATACTTTTCTTTCATTTTCAACCGTAAATAATAGTCGGGTAATATATATTTTCCCTTGCAGTATTCAATCTTAAAACTGAACCATAGCAGCCCCAAAGACGAATGCACCAATCGATCATTATATATACGACTTCTCATGAAGAAAATAACCTTAGCGGTGATTACGAACCGTAAATGCTTGAACTACTAACAGAGAATTTAATTTCTGTATAGCTCATTCAATTGCAAGGGAATTTTGTTACAATACATCGCTGCTCAGTTGGTTTCATGGCGTGGCTTTTGTGAGCAATTATATGAGGAAGTTCATGATCATCTATTTAGAAGATTTCTGAACTTGTGGTGTATCTTCTACTGTCGACTTGTAGATATATCCGCTTGTTAAAATGCGGATATCTCATTACATGCATTTTAGAAAATAATTGTTTTTTATGTTAAATAGCGACTGGCATTCGCCACTCCATTGTCATGGTCTCCCGTTTTTCAATTCCAACCATTAATGGGGTATATCAGAGTGTACATAAATGTTGCACATGTAGACAGTGTGCACAAGTTTTCTTTCATTTCTTCAGTACATAAATCAGCAAGTATACCTTCTTTATAAAGGACACGCCACATACCCTTATTTAAATTGTGCTTTTGATATAAAGACAAAAATACCTTCCAGAAGGTGTGTTCCTATTCCTTTAATAGTGAAAAAACCACCATTCTTGGGCAACACCAAGCCAACAAAATTGTCTTCGAATGCCTTACAATTTGTAAAGATTTGGCTTTCTTCACTAAGCCCTTTTTCTTCCAATATTAAAGCATTTTTCACAAATTAGAAATTTTAAAAACGTTATTGCCAATATATCCAGCACCAAAATATATTACATTTTCACTTTCTGAGTCAGTATCAGGAGTCTGTTATCTACTGTCAGTAATTATGATAGAAACATCTTAAATATTGTTAACCATTTATAACTTCAGGCTATGAACATCTGAAATTAGTATTGTGACTGCTAAGCCAGACGGGTGACACGACACGTTTTCAAACAACGCAAGACTTCGCCTTCACACAGAAGCTCCTTGAGTTCGTATCGCAGGAGGGCGACGGCACGTGGCTTAGAGCAGGTACTGTTCAACCTTGGTGCGAAGGGGAGTGCAAAGGGGTAGTGGTGGTGAGCGGAAGGGTAGAAGAAACCTCGCGCCTTGTAAAACCTTTTCCTCACTCATTTATTTTTGCTGCGCGACGGAGTGCACATTGCAAGAGGGATTGCTGTACGTGCTAGAAGCCGGCAAAATGGAATTCGGAGCACAACGCTGGAGAGAAGGTTATAAAGAGAATCATTAAGGTATTTATGAAATTTATTCAAACTACATGTTGCAGAGAAGAAGAGTACTCCGATTCTGTAAAAAATTGATGCTGATAAGCACAATTATGTTTGAAGAGCTGTTCTTTTTGGTATATGGAAATTTGGAGTTAAACAAAATAAATTCCGGGGGCGGGTTAGGCGCTTTGTCTACTTTGGCGACGGTTCAGAGGCATTGGGCAACACGGAGAGGGTCCACCGCGGAACCCCTTTACTTCACATTCTCGCAAGGTGACGAGCAGAAACCGACTTTGCTTCCAGAACAATGTTGTGGCTTCAAATATTAATATTTCATAAATGAACTAGGACTGAATTATATTCCTGAAAGCCACATAAAGTTATTAAATTTATATGAGGAGTTACTGAACTAACTGTTGAGAGAAAAACTGGTATAAATACATTGTAAAATCTTTGTGTGTCTACGTCTCTCTGAGTTATAACGATATTTCATGAAAATCGTATGCAAAGGTAAATATAGCTATTTGGAATGCGGTAAAGCAATGTAGTTGAGAATTTATGCAGAAAGAGAATTAACTTAGTTTTTGGATAAATATAAATTACAGCAAATCCACAATTCAAATGAACTTGGAAAACTGAAACGTGTAATTGAAGGGAAATGCTCATTATGTGTCATATTGTTTTGTTGTTTAAGATTTTTTGAGTTTGTATTATTTCAGGGTTGTTGTTTTTGTGTTTCTTTTTATATAAATATACGAGCTATTTAAGAACGTTTTGAATGTTAAATTTCCAAATTCGAGTGCGACCCACCTAACGCTGAGATCCCAATAGTGGATAAATTAGGAAGCGATGCTTATAAAGTAAACAATTGGAGCAGAATTAATGCAAATAGCACGTCAAACCAACAATCACCTACACATGTTTAGGGGAGTGTTTGGTGATTGATGCACCATACCCCTCGAGCCAGCCAGAGCTTTTGGGTTTTCCTACGTCTTTTTCCCACAGCGAGATGTCAGTATCTCGACTCGAGGGGGTCGACAGTTTGAATAGACGACAGTACACCTGTACATTCTTTTCCAACCAGAGTAACCACTCACTCTTCCTCTCGATATAGCATAAGGTGTTGAGAACACTTGGTAGGAAGGTGACGTTGCAAAACAGAGCACAGTCACGGCCTTCAGGAAGAGATCGAAGTCAAAGCGTGGGCGAGAGTAGGCGATGAAAATTTCCATGAGAACGAAAGTCATGTCATTATCAAGTGCTGCGCCAACTGTCCACAGTATTGGGATGGTTGTATGCTCAGTAAAACATGGAGCAATACGTGCTAAAAATAATGTGCATCTTGTGCAATCTCCTCCGGCTATCGTAACCCGTGGAACTTCCTGTCAATACAGACATCAAGTGTTGAGAACGTTTGCCAGGAGCGATGTTGCAAACGAGAAGGCAGACTACTTCAGGAAGAGAGTTCATGCGAGGGGGGGGGGATGAATTTAAGGCGCCATTTCCCAATTTTTAAATCGATTCACCTGTCGTATCGAAGTGTGTCCTACCACTAGTTCGGCTGCAGTCAAAGAATACTCTTAGTTTAAAATGAAATTAATTTCTTAGTTTTTCCTTTTGCTTTTGACATGAAATCCAGAAACAATATTTTCATCACAAGACAGCAACACGACAGCAATACAAATCCATCGCCCATGAAGTTTGATTCGGATTGCGACACATACACATCAGTTTACGTATTGTCTGCAAATAATAACTATGAAAAAGTTTATGAATATTTTGTAGAAAAAAATTGAACAGTTTACTGCAATCACCACAGCGGTAACGCAATGGCTAATCAGTGTTGGAAACACTACAACACCGCGCCATCGGAGCGGTTCGAGACGGCACTGCTAGACTTTAATAAACATGAATTTTTAGATAAATAAGGAACATTAAATTCCTTATTTCCTAATCACTGGCGCGTGCACAGGAAGATACCATGTGTGGCCTCGGCTTTTAAAATGGACCTGACCTTACGTAATCACACATTTTATTTTCTTAAATGTGTTAAATTCATAATAAAACTGTCTTGGAGAGTGAGTAGATACATTTTAAAATATACTGCTATACATTCATAGTAAACACATTTGTCTATCCATATTTTATTACCGGTTTTTATAAATTTGAATATTATTACCTTATTGTCTTAAGGTATAAAATATGAAAAAAATACACGTTTCGCTTAGTTGTAAAAGTCAACACGTAATGTTGTATGCATTAACTCGCTATTTTTCAGTATGTATGTATATATGCATTTGGAATTTTGGGTCAATAGTCCTACTTTGCCGGCCAGCTAAAGGTGTTCCCCCATGTCTAGACCTAGTTAAATTCGAGTCGGGGTACGAGTGACATGTGGTGAACATGACGTATTGCCTTCGCCGTCACTAGAGACATCCACCTGCCTGAGGTTCACTCAGCTCCACAATCAATTTAATGAAAAGCGACAGCTCTTATTTTTGTCTCTACCGGAAATCAAACGCCGGAGCAAAGAGGAGGAAACGTTTTGGTTTGTAACGTATGTACACTAGTTTAGTTTCCAATATTTTCCTTCAAATTACAGAAAATATCCTTATTCCGTATGGGCAAGGATCTATATTGACTCAAATTAATTGAAATAATTTATGAGGATATAAAGAGATGTCTGCGCAAATTTTCTATAACAATGTTTCTTGAAATTGATAAGACGTCAGTGAGTTTATTGTAACAGAAAAAACCTATAATATTTTTTCTGATATTATTCGTTTTGTTTCCCGTAACCCATAAACGCATAGACAAGCAATACCTGAGAACACCCTTGTACGCTTGATCGTACCGATTACTAGCGTTCTATTGATATAGTAGGTAAGCTTCTAGCGCTGTTGGGATATTCATGTTTGAACAACACCCTGAAAAAAAGATTTTTTTCTGATTCTTTGAAATTACAATTTTGACGGATTTGAAGCTCAGAGCATCAGTTCTCTTAGAAAATCCGATAAACTTCAACATATTTTGTTCAATTAAGAGAAATGTCTTACGTAGTAAATGTTTCATAATACTAATATAATTTTATGTTTAAAGAAAGATTTTCAATGAAATTGAATGGAAAGAATGCGTTATTATGTGATGGCATTCTTCGTCCAAACAAAATAATGTAAACCCAACTATTCTTTTCTTAGGAAACATAAATGAAATTGTGCGAATGTTCCCTCTGTGAAATAAGCGATCGGAACGTGATGAAGTTGTGGTTAATCTAACGTAATTTTGCATTTTCAGTACCTATATAAAGCAGCATTAATATAAAAACATATTTTTGTACACAAACTTGTAAATGCGAATTATACGGACGTTATAAAATATAATTTTTTGAGTCCGGGCCGATGAAATTCCTTAGCAATCATTTGAAGTTCTGACTATAGAAATATCAATTGATGCCCCATTTGAATTTTTTATTCACGTTCTGGAAATATTTAATAAAATTTAATTTGTATAAATGTAGTTATTTTTCTGTATACTATTTTATATAAGACATTTTTACCTTAACACACCCATTATGTTCTCTAAATGTGTGCCTATAGGGAAGTGCCTGACATAAACGTTGTAATAAGATACATTTCATTGTAGGTAATACAAGAAAGTTTTACGGCTCTTCGCCTGCACAGAAAACCTACATGAATGAAATATCTTTTTTCGCCATATTCAAGCAAGGCCTTCAGGTGCAAGGTTAATACGTTTCGTTTGCATATGTTCGATAGAACTGTTCCCAGAAGTTAACGCGCTCTTCGTTGAGGTCCGTTTTGGCTTCCAGCTGACTTGTGATGTCCAGGTAGTTGCGTGTATCGTTTGTGTATGGACGCCAGCGTACTCCAATGAGGGGGTCGTATGTTGGCGTCGGATCTCTGCAACAAATTCAAGCCATGTATATTTGCGTTCTAGATAGTTGATGGTAACATGCACTAACGAATCTTCCGCTGCAGTACCCTGAGAAAAAAGTACCTGCAACGCATAACTATGTTGTGATAGGGAATATGTTATCTTGAAATGAAGCCTGATTAAGTGAATTGTGAATGAAGTGAAATGTAATAAACGTCTACATTGCTCCGCTAAATTCAATACCTTTTTCAGCCGTTTTTAATTTCTCCCTATGGAGTAGAAGGATAGTTACGCAATGCTGCGCGAAAAAACGGCGAATTTTCAACAGAAAATCTTATTATAGGATCCTGGTAAAGAAAAAGTGCTAAATTTAGAAAAAAAATCTAGTATCACGTGGTGTAGCCAGAATCCGTTGTGTCCTCAATATCGAAAAATCAAATGACGGCAAAACGGCTGTCAGTCCGTCCGTCAATCCGTCCGTTCCTCCATCTCTCTTCGTGTGTGAACAACGCTAGCGGCTAAAACGTTCAGCCCATTTTCTACAAAATTGATATTCCCAAATCCATCTGGCTGATGTCGCGATTCGTTAAATTTGAAAGCGATATTTCAAATTTGGGAGTACTTTACATAAAGCCACTGGGACCCTTACAATATTTACAAAAAATGGATTCATATTTTTCATATTAAATAGTGTGAAGAACGTTTAATAGAATAAGTCAGGTCTCTTGTGTGTGGAAAACCTTGATTTTTTGAAAACAGCAAAAGTTCAATATTTTTTCGTCTTTCTACAACTACAATTATGAAGATAGATTTTTTTCCCATAATGAAATCTGTTCCTTATAGATAGATCTTGAAATGTGGCCAGGTACACTTTTTCGAAAACTTGAGTACTTTTCGCGTAATTTTGCGTGAAAGTACTTGCTGTTTTAGCCCCACTAGTTCTCTGTCGGTTTTCGTAAGAATTAGATGTTACCCGATGAATTTTATTGTTTCGGGCCATGAAGAGAAAAATGTTTTGTGATATATCATATAAAATTATATCATACAAAATTACTCTCTTTGCACAAAGAGATCTTAATTTCCTTTTTGCCAGACACCCTCAACAAAATCCATTCAACTGACGGTTTGAGTAGTAGTAGTAATAGTAGAACTAGAAGTTAAGAAGCACGTTTTACCGCATCATGAAAAATGCTTGTATTGTGTTACAAAGAAGCTGTTACTTATAGTTTCTGAATAAAAATAGTTGCAATAGTTTAATTTAAGAATATTAGAATATTAGTCAAGGACTATACAACAAAATTCAGGATAACATATGAAATCCGAGAAGAAATGCTTGAAAACCCATCTAAGTACTTAATATAAGGCAAGATATCCTTTTGCAAATACTTTCAATATTAGAGGCAATCAATTTCTATGCCTGCACTATGACATGTTAGAAAAAGTGTTTATTCATTGATCTAATGTGGGAACGTTTAAAAAATTATGTCTGTGTGCGAATATAGGAAATAAACATACTTGTAGAGATGTAATAATACGAATTTTTAAACCCATTAGTAGATTGAATATCTTTAGGTTTTTCCAGCCCCTATCGAGCAGTTTAAGTTATCTTAGCAATGAGAAATTTACATTACATTAAATCACCCCTTACCCGGTTTTGACGTAATTACTCCACATCTTCACCATACGCTTTCGTCCAAGGGCTGCTGAAGAATTCGCCGGAACATCATGGAGAAATGCTATGCGAAAGAGGTATCCCATATCGTCCGCATGCGCAGCTCCTGGAACAGAAAAATGAAGTAAGATTCCTTGTACACAGGCGTATTACAAGCATCTCCTAGCGAGAGGTTACCGCGCTTTTATAGGCGTAGACGAGTTACTAAGTGGTGGATACTAAGTATGAATACCATCCGCGCTACGTCTCCTGCACATGCAAATCCACTGCGGTTTAAGACCATGCCTTTGATGCTAGTATTAGCTATTTGATACTTGGTAACTAGCAGGCACTAACTATACAGGTCTAGTTTTTATTATTGTGCTACTGACTTTGGACATTCTTGATTTTGCTTGCTGCACAGGTTGAATAGAAGAAGTCTAACGATTAGCGTTCATTTATTAGCACACTTCTCTCGCGAAATGTTGAAACTTAATAACACTATCTTCACCCACGCACTTGTAAGGCCCATATTTTTGACATGCCATTTTTTTTCTTTGCGTTATTTCCATGGAAAATGTAAGATACGCATGATTTCATCTACAATGACTATAATTATGCAACTTTCACCTGCCGTATAAAGTCATATTTTGGCTGTTTCAAAACCCTAGGGTCCCTTTCCGTATTTCTATTATGGTTATTTTTATTATGGTCATATTTTTCATGAATTTTCGTGTATTTGTCATATTTGTATCTTTTTGATTTTATTTTCGCATAATTGTTTGCAGTCGTCTGAAAGAGATTTTTCATCTCCTGTTATCTAATTTCTCACAAATTTTGGTTCTATATAATTGTCTGTCTTTTCTATTAATACATTGTCGCAGTACCCATGGAGGATGCAATCGGTTTTCGTAACTATTTATTTATTTATTTATTTATTTATTTATTTATTTATTTATTTATTTATTTATTTATTTATTTTATTTATGTTTTTATTTATTATTTTTGTATTTATTTATTTATTGTATTTATTTATTTATTTATTTATTTATTTATTTAATTTTTTGGCCAAGTCGTCAAATCGCGCCCGTACGGGAATCCGTGGGATGCGTCATCTCCGACGCTACCATTGGGGATCGTAACGCCCTTCCTAATTTTCGCTAGGTAAACCTTCCCCCCCTCTCTCTTTTCTCTCTTATGTACTCTATCCTTTCACATCGGGAATACCTGTGAGTTATTTATATGTTCAAGGAAAACTATAAACTCATAATACATTGATACACTGCCAAAATAAATTGTATTACAAAAAACACATTGAACATGAAAAACATTGATATATGTTGAACGAACTGAAATTACCAATTGAAATGGTGCAAATTATTCACTAACTTTAACTGATAAAATAAACAGCACGGCACACAAAGAAACTCAAAGTAAATATTATGTTCCCAAGTGTCTTGCGTTTAGTTACTAATGCGACGTGTCCTCTGTCTCTGTCACTCCCATCGCATCTTGACGTCTCGGCTAGTGCTGCTTTGCGAAACCTTCGTATGCAGGCACAAATGCCCTCCCCTCCGCTTCCACGTAACTGATTTTATTGAATTGAATTGAATTGATGCCTTATTTTCCGTGCGGGATTGGTCTATTAGGACCGCTCTTCCGTCTGACCACGCAAATTTCGCTACGCTCCTTTCACCCACTAGCGATGAAAGGATGTATTTCATGGGCGACGAAACTGGCGATTTGAATTTAGCTCAGAGGCGTCATTTAGGCTTGTGGACCTTTTGCATGCAGTAAATCTACTAACATGGGTCAGCCGGCATTACTTTCTCTCCGAAGGAAGGCGTACGAAGGATTTTCTCGCCGTTATTATTCACGAACACCTCTCGTCAACGTGCGACCCTTTCAGTCACCAATACTACCACTATTACATTTCAGAGCGCTCTCTACGCGAATCCCAGTGTGTTTTAACTCGCCTTTCGTTGGCAATATTCCCACACTACGTATACGCAGGTGTTATCACAATATGTATCTGAATTAGGAGGGTGAGGACTTTATAGAGGAAGAGAATGCGCTGAAAGCATCAGATGCGAAGAATGTGTGAGTTTAGTTTTGTCACTTTTTGTGCCATGGCCAATAGTTTCTTTATAATTTATTGAATACATTTAGCAAGTAGAGTTGTTTTAAAGGGGGTGCCAAAAGAAGAAGGGGTGAATTGTGAATGTACTAGATTTTAAGAGTACATTTTCAATATAATGGTTATTTACACAGCTAAATAATTTTGAAGGTTTCGAAAATGCAACCAAACATTTTTTGAGTCATGTTTAAGGTCGTATTTCCATATTTTTATGAGTCATAAACATCCGGTCCCGAGGATTACCTTGTTTTATCTCCCAAACTTCGTGCTAACTACGGGACGCTCGAAAAAACGGTATTTTTTGAAATTTTAGGGGTTTCTTTCTACAAATGTTTAATACCTGTAGAAAAATGATTCAAATCAAGTATAAATATGTCGAAATGTCCTAGTTTAAAAAAAACGAATTTTTTTTATTTCCAAAATTGTGTGCAAAAATACACATGTTCATATTATAATCAACTTAAAATAATTATAATAATTATTACACTAATATATTGCCTCACAATTCCACCCATTGCCGAAAATATTAATATTCGATAAATTTATTTATGAGTATACTTGTGTGTGCTTGTGTTCTAGCTGCACTTTTCAATGCGTGACCAATATATTTTAAACAAAGTCGGCGAGTGGAGCAAGGCTGTATGTAATTGTAATAGATGATTGTAGCCTTGGCAATCCCCGATAAAATAAAAGTAAATGGCAATTATGTACTTTGCATATGCAGTGCCATGTGGATAAGCCGCAATTCTAGCTAATTACAGAATTAGCCAGTTAATCTTTTCGTTATCGAATATTGGTGGATAATGTCCATTGCAGGAAACGTTTCGTAGCATAAATCAGACCAAGTTCGGATGAAGTTCACGGTGGGTGGGGAGGAAGTGGTATTTACAAACAAAATCATTTTTCATCCAGCAATACGCATACGGTACCGCGTATGATGTGCACGAAGAGGACACAATGGCCATGACTGTCAGGGCTGTTTAATAGATAAGTGTGACAATTCCACTTGTGAAATTAAAACCAATACTGTCTTCTACTACACATACAAAATGCCCCAATCAGGGCGGTGTATCTCAAAAGTTTTATCTCATTTTATATCCGATTTTTCTTACCGTTTCTACCTACTGGCCAATCATAAACTCTGACTCATCTATCTTTGGAGGTGGTATTGTACATCGATTGCTTTGTCAATGACGAACAAATAAACCCCATATGTACTAACATAACATAACCTCTTTGATTTTAACATAGCTTTCAGTTGTTTTCAATATTTGACGCAGTTTTACTCTGCTGGACATAATTTCACTCGAGGAATAGTCCTATTAGATACCACTCTTGGGAAATTTTCAAATAAGTCCCTTCCTACCTTCGCAAATCAGTTATTTTTTGACAATTTCCAAAGCACTCGTAGTACTACCTGCGATAAACCCAACTTTAAACTGAATAAAATTTCCTACTTTGATATTTTTGTATCATTTATATTACTTTAAGATTTATTTCAAGATATTTATATTCGTTTTCAATCAAGGATGTTCTGATCTGACTAATAGAACTAGCTTCTTATCAAGACATTCATTTTTAGAAGGGACAAATCCCATTCATCTAAATCACTGAAATTTGACCGGGAAAAATGCTTCTCTTTCGTGCTTTTAGTGGATATATCACTACTACAAAAATAATTAGTTTTTCTAGAGCACATGAGTAGGAAACCACCCGTATAGACAATAGAAGAAAATATTCTGTCTAATCAGATAGAATCTACAGCTGAACATGTTGCTGAAGCAAATAGAATCTTTTTTTGTCGATTTGTATGGTAAAGAGATAAACTCGAGAGCATCCGGCGATCTTCGAACTCCGCATCGTGCTTGTACTCCGATATCTGCTCCAATACTTTCAAAGTGGGTGATAAAACCTACGTTTTACCGTGCCATAAATAAAATTACAGTGTCGCAATTTCTTTAAAAAATAGTTCTACTCATTAGCTGGAATCAGTTTGCTTAGTCGAATATACACCAATTAGAGATAGGTAATACATGGAACTTTAATTTCAAACAAGATATGTTTTGTTAAAGGATAATTGAATATGATTGTCAAGTGTACTATAGTTAAAACGTTCTCCCTCAAATTTGTGCACGCTTGAAGAAATTTGATTTACATATCCGAAATTGAAATAATAATTCCGGCCGATATTTTACAATCGCAGTGGCAGAATACTTGTACGAAGCTCATGGAGACGGGCTTCATATTTGATGGCGCGGCGGGTTGCGTAGAATTCAGGTGCGTTTAAAGGAATAAATCATCATCAACAAAGCTACCACATGTCCGCTTTATATCAAACCACTCTTTAAACACTCCCATTACTAACAAGTATAAAGTGTGAACATTTCAGAAAAAAATCTGTCTAGTAGATTTTGCGTCTATGCGCGACACAACATACGCACATTTCCAGTTATTCATATACAGAATCCCGCATTAGTGTCTCGCCTCACCTGGTACATCTGTGATGTTCTGATTTATCTTCAAGAAGTTAAGGGCATCATCGATGCCAAAGCTGTATAGATGTATGGGTGCTTTGGCGGCCACTGCCATATGTCGAACTGATTTGTATATTCCTTCTGCGAAACCAATGTCTGTGAGCATCTGCAAGAGATAAGCGAAACTTTTTAGAAATCGTGTATCATTATGTGAAATACATAACATAGATATATGCATGAAAAGTAGTGTTTAGCAAAAACAACAAATCTAATGGGAATGTTGAGAAAGTCTACTTGTCTGAAAACGTAAATATAAGAAATGATAAAATTCTCCAATGTTGAAATTTAGTTTTAAAAATCGAATATTATTTTTATTTTCAACTGTTGATTACTAATACAATTTGTCGCTCATAATGTCAAAATATAGAGAAAACATATATTTTCCTTACGTATGAGTCAATCTTTAGGTTTAGTGATACGATCACTGTGTTCATGGGACTACATATTTAACGTACAAAACTATAGGTAACTCAATGTTGTAAACAAAATTACATGCAATTTTTATCAATATTCTCGTTCGATTCAAATAGAAAGAATACACCACTGTATAAAATCTTAATTTATAAACCTTATATTGTTCAAATGGTACTAAGATAACATCTACTTTCTCGTTTTAGGTGGCCAAATTCTTAAGAACAGGACTCAGATTTTTGTGTTTACTTGCTTAATTAAATTTTTAAAACAAATATTGTTTATTGGTGTAGTAGGTATTTTTTATTCATAAGAGTGTGTTACTAAGATAACCAAAGCAATAAGATATTTAGGTAAAACTGTTTTTAGTTAAGAAAACCCTAGTATTCAGTGACGCCACCCTTCGACGCAATTATAGCTTCAATGCATCGTGGTATGCTCTCTACATAGGCTTTTGCAGTGTTACAGTTCCATGATGTGTTGCTATTCTTTGTTGAGAACTTCAATTCACAGATTCGTGGTGGGGATCACATGCTTGGCGATCGACTGTTTGGTGTGTCCCCATCATAGACTCCTACATAGAGTGCCCACATGAGTTCTCTGTAGGGTTCATGTCTGGCGAGTTCCCCGGCCAGAGCAAAATGGGAATATTTTTGTACCAGGAGTGCAGCAATACTCCTTACTTTCTGACATGGTGCTGAATCGTATATAAAATTTATTCGTAGTCACCAAGGAACCATTCTATGAACTTCGAGCTGTGGCAGTATCAGAGTTTCTATATCCTTATAGTACTCACTTGTGCTGATCATGACTCACAGACCCTTCTACGAAGTATGAGAGCTCCATATACTCTTACTCCATATACACTATGACACCATGACACAGTGTTTAATCCTCTCCATTAAGACGTTTCAATGGAATTGAACTCTAGGCCTCGGTCGGAAAAATGAACTTAAGACGAACATAATCTAAGACGTTAATTCATCATAGAAGAAGACCGGTTAAATGTTACAATAATCAATATTGATGAAATGCGATGAAGTGCTTTAAATGTATAGAAAGGTTATTATTCGACCCCGCACTGCAACAGTAACATTCCAGTTTTGTCTGGCCCATTGCAGTCGCTTCTTTCTCATGTGCTGGACCAGCAATGGTTTTCGGAAAAGACGACGACTGATCAGATCCTCTTCTTGTTACCATCTCTGGACTATCCTTTTTGGAAACTGTTGCACCCTAGGCGTTTAGCATCGCAGTCAGACGGGCAACACACTTTTTACGATTTTTGAGAGAGGAATCTCTGATTCTACAATCAGTACGAAGACTGGTGATGCTTTTTTCTACCATATTTATCCACACAGATTACTTCCAACTGATTCTTCCGGTAAATTGTTTATTTTATTCCGTTAACGATAGTTTGCGAAACCCCTGTAATAGTCGCTATATCTTTCGGTAAATGTGTAGCGTAAAGTAATATTTATATCTCTATTTTTTCTCGGAGACATGTCTGAAGTCTTACCATATAAAAAAAATCTTCGAGGTTGTGACGTTACGTTGTAAACTGAAATTAAATTCACACACAAAATTGAATAACAGTAAGGCAGTAAGGGACAAAAATTACGTTTTGGATATTTTGAAAAAGACAAACTAGCATGAAACAACCAAAAAAATATTTGAATGTTCTCAGTACAAGAGCAGTTTTTAACAAACTTCTACCGTATGAGAAGTAACCTCACCGCAGGTACGAGTATACTGTTGTAAAGTATTAAAAACAATAGTAATTATACGAGCAATACGACAGATCTTATCAAAACCAAATCCTGGCACAAAAAAATCAACATTTAAACAAAAAAAATCACAAATATGTGTACTGTCCCTCAGAATTTGGCCACCTAATGTAATTGTTTAAAACAAATTAGCATCTCATGTGTGACTTTTCCGCTATGCTTATTTTATTAACTCTTTACTAATTTATTAAATTTAGTTGGCTAGCTCAGTTTTTATTTACATTATTGGACGTTTGCATACTTACAATCTCAAAAGAGTTCTTTTACTTTTCCGTAAGCTGGAAGTACCGCTCATACGAGAATTCGGTAGTGAAAGATTTCCATTTATTTATGAATTAAATTGATTTTCTGGATGTGTCAATCTTTTTCAAATAATGAAAACAATATTTCCTGATTTATAAATCAGTAGCATGGAGTGCTTTATTTCTGTATCATTTTCTTTCTTCTTATTTTCATTATTAAAAATGTTGATCTTAATTTTAATTTCTATATCCTAAATAATCTATTCTTAACAATGGCCAATCTAATTTAGCAAATTCTTTTTCTTTATGTGTTGAAATCTTTCTCAATTCTTAAACCTAACTTTTCAACAACTATACATTCTTGGCCTTAAACAGTTGCTCTATTGTCATGACATTTTCTTGCACGTATTTGTAAACTTTCCTGGTAACGAGGTCGGCAATCTTGGCCTTCAATCTATCACTCAGCCCTTTGCGTCGTCCATCCTCATTTCCTGGGATTCCACACTATATATTCTATGCATTCGGTTTATTAAATGTCCATGCCCTACCTTTGTTAATACTCGATAATCCCGGCATAGTTTTCATGCAATCATATCCAACTCGCGAATGAACATTTTTCGTCAATCGCATCTCCCGAAATTTAATTTAAACTTTTTTCAAAACAACTACGTTACGTTGTTTACAATATCTCTCTTCTTTATCAATTCGTCACATAAATCGTATGAATAATATCTGATTTAAAACTTTTTCCCAAGACATTTATACGCCATTGACAGCGTCACGTCCTCTCCGTACCGAGTCGAGAGCTCTTCAGATGAAGTTTTTCATCAAAAACTGAACATGTTTTTGTCAGTCACATGATCCGATTGTTACCTCTGCTAATCCGGTTCAGTTTTGTCCATGTTAACTAGGTCATCTGGGTTCTGTTGTCATTCGCGACAATGCTCTATTTTATTACATAATATTTATAATAAATATTTTCCAAATATTTAATATATTTATCTTCACTAGTTTTTATTGGTATTAAATGACGTCTTGCGTCTCCAATGCCCCATCCTGTTGATATTCTGTTCTAACTTGCCTTGCTTCTTATTATATTTTATTATAGTCGACATATTTCCTTTATAATTACATACAAAACTCCCTTTAGGTAATTGGACCTCATCACATGACAATTCAATTTTTTTGTCAGCCAATTCTTTCGAAGTTCCCACGTAAGTTCATTCTGCAAGCCGTTTTGCAATTGCATAGTTTTTCCGCTATATACGCTTGAAATTTGTGACAGGGCGGTGCGGAAATTCTGCCAGAACGCTCGCATATGTCGCGGTGGGAGTTGTTGCTGGTTACATATTGCTGTTTTTTTCCTCAAACCTTCTATTTATTCTAATTATTTTATGCTCTCTTTGCCTAAGAAATACCGCATAAATACTACTCGAGTAGGGGCTTTTGTGGCTCAGTGGCGATGTCGCTTGCCTTTCACCAGTGATGTTCCTGGTTCGAATCCCGTAGAATCCCCGTACAATCCCTGTAGAACATCATGTGAAATTTGTTACGACAAAACGAGTTTGCATGCTTTACAGGGGCTAGTCCAACCCCTGTGAAGCGTCCTACACCTTACCTCTATCCCTATTTCTTCCCAATTCTTGCCGATGGCTAGATGACGCAGGGCGCGTGCAATCAACAAAAAAGGCAACAATTTGTTTGTCAAAGAGCAAAGGACGCTTAAAATGGCAATGTCTTATTGTTAATGTCTTATGTCATATTATGTTTATCTATTCAATAATTGGATATGATACAAATAAAGCGAATACGTGCCTTGTTAGACCCACCGCCTTTATCCTACACCCTACCTATATATACTATAACTATATAACTATACTACCTATACTATACCTCTATCTAATATATATATATATGTCATGAAAGCGAAAGACTTTCTGCATTGTAAACAATCAAAATGATTTACTAATTCTAATAAAATAATAATCTGAATTCGATCAGCAGCAGTAACGCCGCCGCCGCGCGCTGCCACCAACGGTCAAATCTGGGTAGAGGGGGAGGCGAGCGACGGTTGGGACAGTGTGCGCAGAGAGGCCGCGAGTGCAACACGGGACGCGGGCAGTGCTGCATCAAACTAGTTATATGGTGTGTAAGAACAGTTTGGATTGACTGTGGCTGTTAAGTGAGAGACGAATTGATTAAAGTTATAATCAGGTGATTAGGGAAATTGGAAGTGCCGCCACGACGCAGATCAAAACATTAATACAGGAATTCGTGTGGCCGACGGACACGTGTTATATTTCTGCCCGGGTGTAATGCAGCACGGCCGCATTGGCAGACATTCGCGCGGCGAGATTGAGAAAGAATTGATGAGACCGGAACTGCCGACGGGCCGCAATCGCGCGGAGTGCTGGTTAGTATATGTGAGACATTGCTTATACTCGCTGGGGTGGACCCCGGCGAGTTCGTTGGCCTTCCGTTGGAAGGGAGTCGATCGCCGAGGCGAGAGGCGAATTCCCGACGGATCCGGGCGTGCCCGAGGATTGCGAAAACCACCCCGCTGCCACGGCGGCCCGCTCGCCATTAGCCAGCAGATGATTCTTAAAGAGCATCCAAAGTAGCAGTTGACGTGCCACTTGATTACCAAGGCCTTGGCATCGCATTTTGTAAACATTTATTTGCTAAAGGTGTGTTTCTATTATTAAAATATTTAAATGCACAAAAAATTTCTCTATGATTCATTCCTTCCAATGCAGCCGCCAAACCCCTGCGCCAGCCCATTCACGAAATGTACCTGTCCCTTGTATGATTTATTTTGTCGTGAGAGTACCGCTTCCCAGGTACGTCACAATATAAAGACATATTTAAAAAGGTTGAAATCAACTGGCATTTTTGTCTAAGTAAGCGGATACTAAGGCTTTGAGTTTGAAATAGGGGTATTATTCGTACAATAGACTCTTGCGGTGAATTGTGAGTATGGAATATCTACACAATGTGATTGCGAAATTTCGAATCTGACGTCCTATATTTGAAACAATATTATAAGCAATCTGAACCCATGGGCACCAGAGACAATTAAATCATGGTAATTGATAGAGATGAGTGGAGTATTGCCTTCGGGAAGCAGCTGGGAAAGGATGGGTTATCACTGAACGAGTTGCCCCACCTTCATTCATTAGTAATTGCGATCGCGTCAACTGCAAAGGTTACCAGTCCCGTAAGTGTATTGTAATTGTATCACGCGATGCGGTGGTGATCTACCCCCGCTGATTGGCGAGATCCGGCCCCAATCTACACGTCTGCCAGTGGGGATTTCCCCAATCAGGCATCTCCCCCAGCGAGTCACCACTCCATCCGGGATCTCTGTAAACTCCTGACTGGTCTCCTGGCGAGTGTAATAGTGTAGTGAAGGAAAGGAGTGGAGTAATAGGACAAGTAAGATGAAGGAACATTCGTGCGTGTCCCTTGACCCATCTGATAGGGTAACAGTAATAATATTAATAATAATAATAATAATAGTAATAATAACCACCATCCTAATAATAACAACCACACATCTGGTTATCATTCCTGTGTGTGGTTGACATACCGACCAGTAGATACTGTAAATAATGTAAGATAACAATAATAACAATAATAATAATAATAATAATAATAATAATAATAATAATAATAATAATAGTCTTTATTAATGGCGAGGCTCAGGCCGCAGGGCCTGCTCTTCCGCCTAACCACAACTAGGATACTGCTCCGATATTCGCCTACAATGCCAACTTCTGTGTCATTTTGTAGAACCGCTAGTTTTTCTACTGATTTCTGTTTGAAAATTAGATGTTAAGAACGTATTACGTACAGCGATCATTTTTAGCGCTTTTTTATTAATTGTGAGATTGTTTTAATTTGCAAAACTTTTCACAAGAAAGATCTCCAAAGACAGTTTCTTCTCAATAAGAGAAGAGTTTATATTGTAATATAGATCATCCTTTCAATAATATCTCTTGAATTGTGAAGGTTTCAAATGTTAACTTTTGTGTGTGTCTTAATTTAAAATGAAGCTAGCGATTTCTTTGTTAATAGAAAGTATTTCTCAACGTTACACTTAAAAGTCGTTCTTTATCCGTTTAGTATTTGATCAGGAATTTCGAGTTAAATTCCACCGAATTAAACTTACATTAAGAATAACGAATGCCATCGTTTTCGTTGGCTTAATTTAAATTTGATCCAGTCAGTGCAGATAGGAAAGAAATCGCAAAATTTGCAAAACAAATGCAAAATGTATCTTTCAAATGAATAAACTGATGGAAATATGAAAACGTATTTACTGGGCTGTCGGGGTGACGCCGCGTCCATGGCGAAGGTGCCGACGTTTCGGTCGCCATTCTGCGACCTTCGCAGGGCGAAGGTAGTAGTAAATACTGACTCCGGTCGCGAAAGCCTACGCTCTCAATATGAAAAGGGCTATAAAATATGTTGTAATACGATATGTAGGTTATACGTGAAATTTTTAATTAAAATTTGTATTTCTTTCGTTTCCGGAAAGCATTGTTTATCAAGACTTGATTTGAATGCGTAGTAACGTATTATGCAGTTTAATTTCGAACCAGACGTGTGAAAATAACGTGCGATATTTCATTCCCTTTTCCCTAATTTTTTGCTTTAAGGAATTTCTGCTGATGTACTCACATCCATAAACTGCAAAAATGTGTCATTCGATAGAGATTCCCCGTTCATGAAGAAGCTTCTCATGGCTTGCAAAGCTTCATTAACCTGGGAACTGTTCGAAGAGACACGGAGATCAGGTAATACTGTTAATTTCCAAGTGGCATCTACTAATGCTGCGATGACTGGGTCCCGGAAGTTTGTAACTGTAACAAGAAAAGTTTTCAAGTTTTATTATAGTTCTATATCAATAGTAATCATATTGTTTAGGTATCAGTATTACTAACCCATTACAAGAATTCAGTTACAATACATGTTCATCATTTTACACCCAGCCAGTAGACATCGAACAAAAGTTTGTGTAAAGTAATTTTTTTCTGTTGCATGCTGTTGCTGTGCAATTAGACTGATATACTAAGTAAATAAAGGAGCATTGTGGGACTAAAGCGTCATTTAAGTCAAATTAGATTACAATTTTCACTGTCGAGTTCTAGAAGACTTGGCCTATGCATATGCATGTAACAAATATTCTACTTCAGCTCCCGGGTCAGTGTCTCCCATTTCGAAGAAGGTTTACGTCCACTTTCCCTAATCCTTTAAGGGGAATTATTTTATTCGATATTCTAGTAAACTCGTAAATTACAATGTTGTCTTCACGTCACCCGTAAGAGCAGTTGAATAACATTCGATACCTACGTAGTTTTTCCATGTGTTTTATATTCTACAATTCCCATCTTCAAATAATTTACAAACGAGCAAAGAAATATTAAATAAATTAATTTAATAATAATGCATTCTAAGGAAGTAATTTCTTGTAACTGGTTCCAGAAAAATTATAATGCGTCGCGCATTTGTGTAACGGTATTGAACAATATTTCTTAATTTTAACGTAATTAACTAAATTGTTCTTAACTAACTTAATATTATGAAAAAAAGGCGCAAAAACGATCATTCTTAAAAAAAGATATTTTCAATTTTACCTAAGATATTTCTAATACTATCGAATTATTTTTTATACTCACATAATAATTGGAGAATAGATTCTCTTGTGTTGAAACCTGTAAGGTAGGGTACGGCGTGATGTGAGTTATTAGTGACCAGTTCGTTAACAGGTGCTGGTAAGAACGTTTCAACTCCCTCAACTGGATAATCAGGTGTTGGCACAAAAGTGAACGATATCATTCTGTCTCGGTCCTGTCAAAAAATAAAAAATAACCGTTAATATTAATGTGACGTGGCAATAATCGGCCTGCCAAATGTCTCACATGCAGCTAGCCCTTTCGCTACTTTACATTTTTCTTTACTTAGAAAACGACGAAATGCAAAGTTCAAATATAATTATTGTGTTGGTTTTATTCAAGCTAAAAAAAAGTGATGACACAAATGCATAGAGATGTAGTGACACTAAGCATACTCAGTTGAATTTAGCTGTATTGAAGAATATTTCTCATATAATTGATGAAAAATATAATAATTTATATAATTAAAAACGTAACAAAAATAAATGTGAAGAACGATTGAACGTGAGAATTTGAAAAGGGAGACTGATCTTGCTTATACTACAACTATATAATGTTAGAATGTCGTCTATAAATTCCGCGTTTTAGTTTGCTTTTGAGTGTAGTGACGATGCGAGCTTTCTTAATAACTGTCCATGCACTAAGTAAATGGATTTGCATTGAAAAATCTAAAATGTAGATGTCCGAATTGATCAGTTTTAAATGTTTGTAGAAAAGTAACCTCATAATTTCTACTTGCATCTTCTACATTACTCATTACATAGGGCATTGTTGTCTTTTACTCTGAAATGTTTTATCATATGAAAATGTAATATAATTGTGATCAACATGCATTTGATTTTCACTGCAAGGACATCCTTAATTTGATCTGAATATCTTATCAAGTACGCCATATCATGATCTCGACAACATTTTTATACCAAGGATAAGCATGCGTCTTATAATCTCAAAGGTTTGTACCAACCCACTTGAAACTTTAGAAACTCCTTTTGGGGTCACGTGTCAAAAGAAGTTTAGACAACCCCTTCGCAATTTAAAGTCTGAGAAATGTATCAGAATACAGTGAATTTGTTGAGAGGCATCGATCTTACTCGATTGTATGATCGACAGAGATGATGCCTTTCAAACATTTTTTTATAAGGCTTGAAAGTATTTTACAGGTATACATTGTGTACCTTTCATTGTATTGACAGCGTTTGTCTGTGTCTCAATCGTTTGTGATTTGACTTACTTTTGGATCTTGAGAAATTCCAACTGAGCCCGAGGACCCTCAAGACTTCACTGAATTCGCACGTAATAGACATTACCCGTTTTCCAACTTCTCATTGGCACACGTCGTATATTGTTAGGGAGAAGGTAAAGAGACGATTATGAGGAAAAAGAGAGGCAGCAAAGCTGATGATAGAAAATATACTTGGGGAAGAAAGACAAAGATGTGAGAGGAAATATGAGGCGAGGAGAAAATGGGGGAACCAGAAGAGCTCTTTATGACAGGGAATAGATCAAGAAGACGTTTGGTGATAAGGGAGAAAGAAGAGGATAACACCAAAACGTGGAATAGATTGGATGAGGAGCTTATGGAGGAGTTAAAGAGATCTTAATATAGTCGGAGAGACATCCAGCTTAGACTAAATGTGTTAGTCTTTCTCCTATGCTTCAAAATGAAATAAAATTAGAAAGAGGATAATGATTGTAGGAGAAGCACAGACAGATAGTGCGACGATTCCATGCGTGACAACGGCTAGGGACATTAGTACTGTAAGTGTAATTCGTGTTTTATAACGGGAGTCACAGTTATATTTCCCCGCTGGCTTGCGAAGTTTTTCCCAAAAAGGTATCTCTTACCAGCGGGGTACCGCCACAACCTAAGCTTTCACCTCTCGACTGGTTTCCCATAACATGCAGTTGTGTAGTGCATGTGTGTGTAAGAAAGGGGTTAGGCTACTACAAGGTAGGGGAAGGAAAGATCGCGCGCGTTCCGTGGCCCGTTTATTAGGATACTGCTCCGGCATTCGCCTTGTGATGATCGTAGAAACCACAGAATCAGAGTAGCAGGTCGCTAGAATTCTCCTCCAGACAGCGGTTCAATCAATATAACTCTGTAGCTAGTGACGAAAATTCTGCTACCGTCGGGACTCGAACCGAAGGACCTCCCGGTGCGAGGTTCTGCAGAGACAGCTAAGCTGGTGGAAGAGGAAAGAGAAAACTACAAAAGGGGAAGATGACATTGATGGAGAGGAAGAGTAGACGAGAGAAGCACGTTGGAGCGATCGTTGGCCGGGGCGCGCGCTTACGCACCACTTGCGTGGGTGCGACGTTCTCGGCGGCCAGGACGAGGGCGTCGGTCGAGGCGCCGCGCAGGCACTCCACCACGGCCGCGTAGTCGTCGCCCGCGCTGCAGTTGAGCGCCGCCGCCAGGTTCAGCGCCGTCTGCACGGGCGTCGTCTGGATGGCCCACGGGTTCAGCCCCGCCCCGCTCTGCGCGATGGCGCGCTGGAACAGCCCTGTGAAGAGGATCGCTTGCTCAGGGGAGGACAGGGAGACAGTAGTGTTTTATTTATTTATTTATTTATTTATTTATTTATTTATTTATTTATTTATTTATTTATTTATTTATTTATTTTCCTTCTTTAGCTTCAGGGGATTACGATTTCGACTTTTCGTACCTGATACCCACTACATCCCTCACCTTTACACTAGACACTCTTGCGGGCTCCTCGGTGTGTGGTCAGCAGGTTCACCTTATTCTCGTGTACAAGTAGGCGTAATGACGAACTACATTAGATTTTGATGGTACATTGCGGTTCTGGGAGGGTATATTTTACTTCACAATCGCTGACTTGTTTGGGAAAATGAAATATAATCCTGAAAGTATTAAAAGAGCCGCTGCAAAATATGTGGAAGATTTTATACATACATACATAAAGTGTCGGTACTGTACTGTACTGTACTGTAACGAATTTTTGTACTATAATTCAAAGTAATTATCTCTGATATTTACCCATTGTCAATTGTAAATGTTCTTTGTTGTAGAATGATGGCGACAATAAGATCCTTGAAACCTTTGCAGTAATAAACACGTAATACTAAATGCGCATTTAATTGGATTATAATCTAAATACCACAATAGTTGAAAAAGTCTGTTTTAAACTAAAGCGTCAAATATGAACAGTCACGAATAAATACATAAACAGACACTTCAATAATTATAATATGATGCAGAAAATAATAAATATTAGACTATTATAAATTAATATATAAATAGATTGAAAAATACAATACTTGCTGAGATGTTGGAGGAAAAGTGAATATCAGATGATCAGTATGAGGAAATGGTTTGCGTGCTTTTAAGCATCGCGTCAACAGGTGTTAAGGTCATCTTTGTCTTTCCGTCAATCACCAAAATCTCACAGCGCTACTTCGGCTAGAAAGGTTGTTGAATGAAGACATATGGTACAAATGGAGAACTGCCTGTTTACATTCCAATATTTTGAGATGAAAATGGTGTATCGTACTGACTGAAGTTTCTAAAGACGAATGAAGTATCAAGATAGATGATATATACCTTCAGAATGCGTCCCAGTTTAGACTATTGGATACCCGTTTTTTGAGTTATTGTTCATGAATTGTCCAAGTTTTTGAATGCTCTCTGCATCTCCCGTATTGCAGAATTATAATGTATGGGGGTTAGAATTGTTAGTAATTTTTGTCATGTTTTAAAAAATTCAATGTTTGGTGACTTCTGAATGATCGCTTCTGTCGAACCTAGAGGAAATGTTTCAAAAAGTCGTCTGGAAGGTTTGCTGGTGCCTAATAATGATTTGCAACACACCATTTTATTTTTTTGGATGTGTTCCTAAGAGAGCTAATGGATTTTTTTAAAATTAATCGCAAATTTCTCAACGAGATCTATATTATATCTGTATCTGATAAAAGATTATGATTGACATGTCAATACCCCATTCTCCCGAAGAATGTTATAATCTTGTCATTTTAAGGTGGCTATTTGATGTCACGATGAACACTTCTGCAGCTCTAGAAGAAATACGTATTTAAATCTATTTTAAAATATTAAATTTGTTAAAATTAAGCTTGAAGATGCAATCTTAGTACTTGAAAACTTTTCAAGAACAAATAGAACAACTGATAAAATTCTTATGTAAGAGAGCATATGTGACGTAACGTGTACTAGCGTCATCAAATGTGTAACGTGTACTAGCGTCATCTATCTCCAAACAATTCTGACGAATAATAAATCGATATTGGACTCGTTGAAGCAGTCTGCTTCTCAGACAGTAGTGCTGTTATTTCTACAATTAATTATGATTTTATTAGTTTTTCGTCAATTTCGTTTTTTACCGGAAATGGTCTGCGCCCAGATGCCCCTAGGTTTGTTTTATTCGCCGATTAGTTTTCTACCCCTATTTCTGGTGTTCAAGCCTACAAACACGTTATTCATTAAAATCGTTCAGTGTTTCTAGTTTCAATGTTCAACGCCACCATCAATGTTCTTGCCAATTGCTTTTGTGTTTCGGGTGACGGTTCTTGCTAGTAAGTATTGTACGTACGTATTCCTATTTATGGGATTCATTCGTAAATACATTTTGATTTTTCAATACTTATTTTATAAATTCATTTCTACAAAACTTATAAAATACTTGTTTAAATAAAATTTGTGGTAGGTAGTTGTACGTTTATGTAAGGAATAGTATTGTAATAATTTTATTGTAACAAATGAGGCAAAATATTGGTACAAGTATTTAATAGAATAAGAAAAGGTTTTGTGTTTCGGGCTCGGACCAATATTCAGTAACAGCAATCCCTTTTTGCAAGAAGACTCCCGTTTCCGCCGCCGATTCAGTAAAACTTGGATGCTTACAACTATATAATACAAAACAGCAGAGACGTACGGCACGAATCAGTCATGACTAGCTTTTGTAGTATTTAACACCTTGCGTTTTAGTGCTTCTAGGAATGGTTCATAGTTTTTGTAAGTATTTTTATCACTTACTACAATCTTGAATTCAGACTTATTAGACGCAAACATTTTCCCTTTTTCAGCCCTCTCTGATCGTGGCTTCTTAGAAATTTTGCGTTATTAATTTGTGTTCAATACGCAATTTAGTTTTCTTTTTATTTACAAATATGTTTCATCTTGATCGAAGACTTTTCATTAAATACAAATTAAGAATTCTTTACTATACATAAAATATATTTGTAGGCAACTTGCATTGAAATGAGTATTTAAAGTGTGATGCAAGCAATACTGTACCCTATAATTCTTGGCCCATTGATTTACGATAAATCGTGGATTTGACACCTTACTGTTGTGTACGGCGAGCTTTTAAATTCGAAGCGCGTGCTCTTCCATGAAAGCCGATGCAGCAGCGAGCCCGGAACACGCGACAGCACGGGCAGCGACGCCGGATAATCAACTTCGATTTTTCTATAGTGGTCGGGGACATTAGGTCATTTTTACACCTACTGCCTCATAAAACGTATATTTTTATTAGTGATATGCACATTTCTGAGGCCACGAGCCCCGTTGGGAAAGACGATCTCGAAATCATAAAAAATATTAATTTTTTTAAGCCAGGAGGTGTAACAATGACCTAAAGTCATCAGACAAATCGAAATACAAGAAGCCAGCAGGCACCTCTAGGGTAGAGTGTGCAGAGCCGTTTTCGAGAAGCGACAACGCGTTGACGCCTTGTATAGTACGTCGCCAGAAGACGGGATTGTGCGCTATTGGTGTTTGTGGACCGAGCTATGTATATGTACATCTCCTGTTGGACGATTCACTCGTATTTATGCTCTCCTGGCAAAATAAGTGTGTTGCCTTTGTTTCCCGGTATTAGTTGGATTATGGAAATTTGCGAAGAAAGTTCAAATAAGCAGTGTTTTTGCTAAGCCTCGGCCTAGTGATGTTGATGCACTTCTCTCACCGTGGGTCATGGGAGAGAGCATCTGGAGATGCACCGAGGCCGAGCCAGCGCTCTCGCCTGCGAGGGTGATGCTGCCTGGATCCCCGCCGAAGGCCGCGATGTTGGCTTGCACCCAGCGCTCTGCGAAGACCTGGTCCTTCAACCCCACGTTCCCGGGAGAGGCCGCTTCCAAATACAGGAACCCTGCAAAACATTTTGTTCGTTTCACCGGTGCTTCCAAAAATGTATATGATTCTTTCTCAAACGGTTAAATGAAATGTTTCAACTGATGACTATCAGAATCTATACATTTCTGTGAGTCGCATCTTAATCCGTACAAGAAGTGTGCACAAAAGTAATATTTCTGTGCACACCTCTTGAATAGCATCCCAATGTTACTTGGTTTACAGCGGTACACACATTACCAGTTAAAGAGTCTGTTTCTAGCCAGATTCTAGCTGCAGTTTTCGCCATTACGTACGTGGAGAATTCAAAGATATTTATATTGTAAATTTTTAAGGTGCAATATTTACGTTCATAAACGTACACATTTTCATTTTTTAACACCAAAATCGACATACTTTTCATCAATACATCCAACTTTTGTTTCAGTTTGTACCTTTTAATTTTGTACGAAACGAAGCAACTGGAATTTCATTAAAAAGAGTTTTAATTGTGACATCTGGAATTGTTTTGCGACTCTGTCTTCTCAGAATAAATTTGGGTGGCGTGGTGCTTTAATTACACTTATCTCTCGAAGTTAGGTCAAGCAAGGCTGGTGTTTATGCATGTGATTCAAAAACTAATATTTTTTCGAAGTATTAAAACATGTACTAATTATTTTGAACAAAGAGAAATTGATTCCCGTCAACGAAGACAATTTCAACTAGTTTTTGATTAATACGTGCCGCGAAGCGAATGCTTTTGTTTTCTTTAGTGAGTGGCAATATTTCTGTTAAAATGTATCATAAAATCCCGAGTACACACAATATAAGTACCACCACCTTAAGTTTCTCGCATTATCAGGATACTTTATCACGGTCATTTATTAGCCTGGAAGAGGAATTTCCTCTATTCCTGCCCTGGACTGTGGTCTAATTATATTGTATTGCCGGCGCGCGCTGTCACTTCCCACTCCGTCCTGTCCCACTTTGTTCTTCCCCGCCTCACCTTGCCGTGTCCTCATCTGGAAATATTCCGTCTACTTTCTCACTAAATAAATGTTTAAGTTTTGTCTTAAGTTTTCGGTCCGCACTCGCTTTATAACTATATAAATGTTGAACAAATATAAACTAAAAAATAATGTTTTCCTGCGTACTATTACATAGCGTTTTGTCTTTACGAAGTTTCTTTGTAAGGGCAAGAAGATAAAAATAAAAAAATTAGCTCACTTGCCATTTAATCTCGTAAATTCTGTTGCGGAGTTATATATACTTTGCTAACACTTTCAATGAAATCCCAGATTTTAAAATTTACCTTTTTTGATATTTTTACTTCTCATGTAATTATAAAGAAAAAAATTGAAATTGATCTTCAACCCATGCCGAGGCAATTGGAGTTTAATTGTAATCGACTATGCTATTTAGGGTACTTCAATAGAGGTTGACGGAGAAATGCCAGTTATCTTTTGACAATTATAATCGTAGTGATAAACTAATGCAACTTCACTCTTAGTAATGTAAAATAAACAAGAATAATATCAGAACTTTTAAATATTTAGTTACCAATTAACCACTGTAGATTCATTTTTACCGCTGATCTTTCTCGAAAACCCGAGTTACCCTACCTATTGATATCAAACTAGTCTCATCACCACAGCAGATTCAACTAAAGAGAATTTCTTTTTATTACAAAATTAGCGTAAAACATGCATTGCCGTTCATCTCTTTACGAACAGAAAATTTCTGAATGTACGTTTTGAAAACTACGGGTATAATATTCTACATGAACCGTGTCTCCGCGCAAGAGTCGCCGTGAAACTTACCTAACACTCCCAGCCTGTAGTTAAGGCTGACGAAAATGATATCCTCGCAGATGAGGTAGTCCGGCCCCAGGCCGCTGGCGTCTCCGGAGCCCGTGACGAAGCCGCCGCCGTGCACCCAGACCATGACCGGGAAGGAGTCCGCCAGCCAGGACGGGCGGCGCGGGGCGTGCACGTTGACGAACAGGCAGTCTTCGTCGCCGACCGCGGCGTCGCCGCTGAATTGCGGGCAGTTGTTTCCGTCTTGCAGAGCGTCGCGGACTCCCTTCCATGGTTCCGGGGCCACAGCGTCCTGGACGAGGGTCGCATTTATGTAGAAAATGAGAGCAGTCAGATTGCTAGAGAAGTTTTTTTTAAAAATTCATGTAAACAAATTGTACGTTTAAAGAATTATTTATCAATAATAAGAATCATTATTGTATGTATTTGCCAATCTCTATAATTGGAATACTAAAGAAATGACTTTTACTACGTTGCGAATAAGGAACATGAAATATTTTTGTGTAGTTTAACAAACTCACATTTTTGACGTGTTTCTAAAGAAAAACAAAATCCTTTCTTCTCAATATTCAAAATAAGTAGGTATTTACTCTGCATCGATTTTAATAATAATAAACGTGACTAAACAATGAATATTTCGCGCATTGAATGCGCGGCAGGGACGTAACATCCATAAACGCACTGGAAGCGCCATTTTCTTTACGAATTTCCCTTGCAAATGTTACATTTTAAATGTAGTAGTCCCCTCATAAAACTCAAAGAACTGTTGAAAGTTTTATAGTTTATACTGTGCCGGACTCTTGTATTCCATGCGCTTCCTCGTACATCCCTCCCCCTGAAGATGTTAACGAGACTATCACAGTCGAGGTAGCCAAATCCGTTTTGGAAAACACGCCTTCAGGATAAAAATCCGCCCAATTCAACCAAAGGGGTGGTGGAAAAGGAGATCTATGACACTTGCGGTTGACAATTTCAAAATTCACACGCTGTACGTTCACAAGTCGTTTAATAGAAAATATTCTCGCACTGTCGAAAGCCATCAATATTTCGACACTCTTAGAAACCTTTCGCAGGATTACATGCCAGTATAATTATAAATAAAGCGGGCTTTGATATCTCATACTCTCATAATAGAGTATTCTCTAAGAAATCCGCCCTCATATCTCCACATTTAAAAGATGTTCAAAACTAAAATTGTGTCTACGACACATTTTAGAGGTCGTCAGTGTTTGTACAATCATTAGGAAAAAGTACGAACTATACTTAGTTTTTTTACGTGATGTCTCAAGGTCACGCACGAAAAAAAGAGAGGGACGGCAGACACAAATAATTGCGAGCTGAAACATTATTACAGCTCCCACTTTTACGGCTTCCTTTTGGAGTGGTTTTTTTTGCGTGACATTCAGACGCCACGTTAAGAAAGCTAAGTATATTAATGATGAAAATGGCGTCCTTTCTCATAACTCGAATGTGGCGGACGGCTTGCCAATTATTTTGTGCACCGTGCAAGGCTACAAGTTGCGCAGACCTAAGTAGACCTCCGTTTGGATAGAATAGTAACTTGCTTGTCAATAACTGTGATTGAAACGTGACTATAGAACTGTGAATTAAAGCATGAATCGAGTATCAACGCAGTGTGAGTGTCAGTGCTTGTAGAGAACAATGTTTGTATTTTATTTTGGAGAATCGAACGTGTTCCTTGTATAGGTAGGCAGACGGACGGGCTGCGGCTGCATTCTGTGTAGTGAGTTCGAAAGGATATCAAATTATCTTTTATCTCAATTCTATCCGCTGGTAGACTAAATACCTACTTTTTTTAGTTAACGGAAACGCAAAAGTGTTAAATAAAACGTCTCTCAGCATGCTGAAACTTATCGGTTGCGTAGGCTTCTGCGGCCGGTGTTTTGTTGTCTAGGCTACCGGGACGAGCCGTGTCACTGACATGGTGGCTAACGTTGTGGCGTGTGGTGGCCAGCGTGTTGTGGCCTTAGTACGTTGTTGCCTGTGTACTGCAGTACGCTATGAAGAAGGCCACAAGATGCTAGCGAAACGTTAGCCACCATGTCAGTGACGCGGCTCGTCCCGGATAGCCTAGATAACATACACACTTATTTACGTAAGGTAAGCTGCTCCTTCTCGAGCGTTATCTGCACTAGGGCATTGTGAGGAGAGTACTTGCCTTGAAGCGAAGGGAGCCTAGCGGCGGCTTCGCGTACGGGATGCCTTGCCAGCTGAAGTACGTGCAATTCGCCACTGATTCTTGACGTCGCCCTTTTACCAATCCTTGTTCCACACGAACCACTGGATTCAGTTCGCAGGCCTCCGCAGTCTGGCATTCTGTAATTTACACTGACCACGGTTACACTTCTTCCGGAGCTTGAAGTGCCGAGATTTTTTTCAAATGACTAATTGAAAGAGATGAGATATGGAAAAATAATGAAATACTATGAATGATAAAATATAAACGTTTAGTGATGATACGTTTTGAGACTTAGAAATATCCATTATTTATGACCAACAACCACAATAATTTTGTTATCAACATAATTTGATACGTGTTATGTTATCCCCTTTCCGATAAGATGTTTAGCAAATAAAATGTTTGAAAACCGATAATTTCATGTGTAAGTTACACTATTTATATATGTTGTATACATGTTTTGTCGACATCAAGGGCCTGACGTAGGTAGTAACCAGTTCTGTCAGTAACATGGATGCAAAATTACAGTGTATCTTTCGTGCACAGTTAATTATGCAATTCATTAGAGTTTAAAGTCGCATGTGTGTTTTCACTTATCTTCTCGACTGGTAAGTCATTTTCAGAAAGATTGCAATGAGGTAGAATAATGCGGTTAGCATCAGGATCAGGCGAGTCAGCATGGAGCGACGAAGCTGGGAAGGGGCAAGACAGATTCGCGTATGTCAGGGCAGGCCCAGGCAGGGTACTTACAATTCATTTCCGTACGTGTGAATGATTAACGCGAGCATTCCACACGTGATAGTTAGTGTTTAACCTATAGCTGAAAAATGCCTTAGTCACGACAGTGAATCTCGAAAGTTTATCACTTTTTTTATTCGATGTTTTCTTACCTCTCCGCCCTACTGGCCAAAATGTGATTCACCTACCTTAGGAGGCGATATTCATCGATTGCTATGTCGATGTCCAACAAACCGCGTATGTCCTATGACATAACGTCTTTGATTTTAATACACCTTTGAGTTGTTTTCAATATTTTGTGCATTATGGAACTCTGTTGGATATAATTTCATTCGTGAGATAGCCCCTTTATGCTTTGGAAGTTCTCAGATAAATCCTCTCCTCCTTTCGCAAGTCGGAGATTTATCCATAATTTCCAAAGCACTTGCGGTATTACGTATAACCATACGGGCAAGTTCAATTGAATGCGGTTATCAATTAGTGGGAGTTAATGGCAGAGGTTTCCATTACTTAATAATAATATTATTATACATTTCATTATTTAATGTCATAAAATAAGTGACTAAAAGATAGAGAGGGAGACATGTTTAAAGATGCAAAATAACATTGAAAGTGAAAGCTCCAATAGAAAATAAATTCACGAAATAAAAGTCACAAAAAATGTTAATGGTTCATGATGAAATTGGGATGGAATAGAGAAAATTCTATAAGGTGGCTAAAAGAAAGAGATTGGTGATTCCGGGCGCGACAACGGCAAATATCACCAGTCCCTTAAGTGAAGTCCATGTTTTCATCGCGAGAAGTGACGGTGACCTCCCACTGGATTTCGAAATTCGGCGCCGACTTCCCTGTCAGCCTGCGCGTTTCTTCCCGAACCAGGTATCTCCTATCACCGCTACATCTGGGACAAGCTCCAGCATGTGTAGTAGAGTAAATTCATGCGTGTATAATTAAATGGTGAAGGTAGAATGAGAAAGAAATGCAGCTATGCATTAATGAGAATAATGAACGATATTCGTAAATTATCATAATTATGCTTGCCCTCAGATTGTGAATAATTTAACTTATCAGAAAAACACCCGTCTCAATTCAAAGAAATATTTAAATAATTTTATATAATTGAACATAAATTTTTATTTAGTTTTCTGTTGCAATATCACATCAGAATTATATAATAAGGTCTAGGTCACAATTAACTTACTTGCTAGTTGACGCCAGAAATTAATTCGTTCTCCCAGAACATGGTCGTGGGCGGTAAATGATGCGCTTATTTTCAAGTAGCTCTCTTCTGATGGTGTGTAGACTCGCCATTTTGATTTTCCGAATAGTCTTGGTGTAGGGTTTCTGAGAAAAAATCGTACTCTTATAAAATATTCTTATTATTATGTTTTCACAGGATTATATTAAAAAATTAATCTATTGTGTATATGAAAAGCATGTTTCAAATAACGTCGTTTCAAAATAATGTTTGTATTTTAGAAAGAATAATTGTTTTCACTTTGTCGGATTTAAATTTTATTTTACGAAAGCGTCGCTTTTATCAGAGATTTATGTAATAGCTGGAAGAATTTTTTTCCTACTGAATTACATTTTTGTTCGTACATTGTATTGTAATAAGGTAATTATGTATTTTGACAATTGACTTATAAATACAATTCACTTCCATTTTGTAGTAGAAACTTTACAAAGAAAACATATTTGGTCTTTGCGCTATTATTAATCGTATATTGTTCTGTAATGAGGTAATACTAATTGAGTTTTACTAACGGGTAAAATTTAACTGTAATTCATTAATTTTTAACGTTCTAAAGATATCTTGTCAAAAGAGTATACCTTTAATGTATTTTTTTTTAAATTTCTATTATGTCGTCTGCCCCCCCCCTCCGAGTGTGCACAAATGCGTCATTAGCGTGCGTCATTAGCTTAATACTCTGCAAAACTTATAAAATTTGAAAAGTATGAAAACAGGGATCATTCACTGGGCTTCTCGCCTCTGTCGCATTGCTGAGAAATTCAACGGAAACTGGTCTCGTGATCTCAACTGCCAACAGAGCAAAGTCCTCTGGAAGTCTTAGTCTCCAGTATACTCAATGTGTAATGTTATGTTAAGGGAAAAAATAATATTACTACCAACTTTTGGGAAAACTAATATCGTTCTCGTACGAAAATTATTATTCATGCTATTAATACTATACATTTAAAGTTCTACCCAAATATAAAATTGGAGTGAAGTATTTTTCTCTTAAACACTAAGCTTGGAAAAGTCTAAAATTGTTTCATTTTGTAGATTAAAGCAAAGATAAGAAACTAGTCTCCCTTAGGGTACTGATGGGATTGCATCTGCGCACTATATTATTTTATTTAATATATTTGTAACGCATACGTATATATTATAGCTTTCTTCTCTCCTCTATATGGACTTTTAACTATCAGAAATTTACTCCCGCGTGCGTGCAAAATGTTTTGAAAGAGCTACAAATTGTTCTCTTTAAGTCATTCATTATTAGGTGCAAAGAAGATTTGCACGGTGTTTGCGAAGTTAGCGAAACTATTATTCATACGTAGTATTGCAAAGAGGTAATTAGTTGTGTTTTGTGAATTGACTAATAAATTCAATTCACTTTGACTTTGTGATGGAAAATTACAAAGTAAACAAGCGGTGTGTGCGGCATATTATTCATATATTGTTTTGTAATAAAGTAATTTTTGTATTATGGGAAATGACTTACTTATTCCATTCCCTTACGCGGCCATTACGAAATCTTCGACATTATTATTCGTGCAATTTATGGTAAAGACGTAATTACTAACATCTGAAAATTGACTTACAATAATTATTTATGCACCAAGGGTTTTTTGTCGCCCGAAGGCCTGATACCCGAGGGCTCTTGTCGCCTAAGATCATTAAAACCAGATAACGCCCGTGGTACATACCACTTTTATTTTTTAAAAACTTTTAATGATTCAGGTTTATTTATTTACTAGTTAATTATTATCTGACTTTGCTCGGATTGTCTTTTCATATTCCCATTGAATAATTCCATCTCATAAAAGGATATGCAGCGTCCTTCAACTATTTTCACACTTCCGTTGTATCCGCATTCGATCCAGATAAGTCATACGATGTATAACAAGCTCCGTATCGCAGGCAATACCAAACGAATGGCGTATAAACGAAAACTGAAATCCACAACGACTTTGTGGTGGAACAGCGGAAAACGTGAAAACGTACGCTGTCTTGGCGAAGTTGGCAAGATGGCGCACTCTCTTGTTCCTGACGGCCGCCTCGTCGTGGGGGTCGGCAGCGGGGGGCTGGCCGGGCTGCGCGTGTCGGAAGAGGTAGGCCAGGTCGTCGCCGTGGGCCACGCCGGGCACGTGCGACGCGTTGTACACGGTGGTCTTCAGCCAGGGGGCGTGGCCCTCGTGCGCGAATTCGTACACGTAGACGGTGGCGCCGCCCTGCGCCATGAGGCGCGCGGCGCTCACGGTGGGCACCGCCACGAAGACGTCGGTGCACATCTGGAGCAGGCGTTCGGGCCATTAGGGTTCCATGCTAACACGAGGGATTGTTATGAATTGTATTTTCAAAACTGCTGTAGGAGTCAAGAAACAATGTACATGATTCGTGATGAAATACAGATATACGGGAACGAATAGATGATCTCATAAGCACCCTAACAATAAAAGATTGATTTATTGGTTATTCCAGGCACAACTGCTAACTAAATTAGTCCCGTAAGTTTATTGTTGGTTTTATTGTGGGACGCGGGAAGATCTTCCCCCGTTGTATGACCAATTATGGCGCCGACCCTGCCCGGAGTTTCCCAACAAGGTATCTCCCAACAGCGGGGTACCGCTCCAGCCAGGACAAGCTGTGCGTGTAAGTGCAAGAGTTGAGGGTAGGAAAAGGAAGAGGAAGAAAAGATCGAACGCGGTGATTTTAAAAATCTGCTGTGGGAGTTACGAAAATACGTAAATGATTCGTGATGAACTACAGAAATATGGAAAAGAATTGAGAAAGACATAAGCCGGCTAACAATAACAGATTAATTGGTGATTCCTGGCACGTCAACTGCTAAGCTCCTTAGACTCGAATGTGTAGCATATGCTGTATTTGCGGAGGGTGGCGGTGATCTTCCCACGCTTGATGGCGCCGATCTACTCGGGCCACAAGAGTTTTTCCTTACTAGGCATCTCTCATCAGCAGGGCACCGTTCCAGCTGGGACACGTTCTAAGTTCCCGACATGTATGGTAGTGTATAGAACGATTTATTTAATCGTGTACTTGACGAAAATCAGCTGTTGCGGTTTCATCCAATCGGGAGCGTATATGTCGCTACAGTAACGTCACAATGGGGAGTTTGGAGCTCCCGATTGGATGAAACCGTGAAAAGCTGATTTACGTCCAGTGCACTGTTAAATAACTCCTAGTTTGTAAGTAATCCATGGTGTATGCAAGTATGTGAAAGGGGTGAGGATGGGACAAGGAATAGGAAGGAAAGATCGCGCGAGATCCGTGATCTGTTTTTTACGGTATTGCTCTGGTATTCGCCTAGTGTTGATTGGAGAATCAATGGAAAACTACCGATCGGAGCAGCCAGCCACTACACTTCTCTTCCAGACGGTGGCTGAATTTGACTTAGCTAGTGTCAAATATCCTGCTGCCGTTGGGGTTGAAACCTAGGACCTCGCGGTCAGAGATACTGCAGTAACATCAATTGATTCTCTGAACCACCTTTGCTGAACAAACGTTAGGTTTAATGTTCAGGGGTAATGCCCCTACGCATCAGAAACGCAGGTTCGCTTCAGTTTTACGAACATAACTGCGGACGTATGTGTCAGTTGTCAGAACAATGTTAGGAAACCTAATTCATTCAACATTTATTGTGAATTTTGTAATTCATTGTTGTGGGGTCATCAGCTTTCTTAGGGCCATTTTTGCATTTAGCCTAAAGTATGTTTAATGTAAAAGTTTCAGTTGGATAAGTTGTAAGATTTTGTACAGGTTCGCATACAGCTATACCTTTACGAAAATCAATTGGGAGGAGTAACATGTCCCGACGGTGTCGTATGACCTCTTATTTGTTTTGTGTAATCATAATCCGAATAAATAAATAAATAAATAAATAAATAAATTGTAGATAAACCTTCCTGTAACTATTTGAAGGATCTGCTGGACTCAATGTTAATGAAAATGTTGGCAGTATACGAATTGGCAAGTTTCTTGAGAGGATGGGTGGTATTCAAACTGAATTGAACATGAGAAACCGTGATGACAACTCTCCTAATTATGAGGCCACCCCTAACAAAGGACTTTGTGTGTGTTAAGGTGCGTGTGTTGTGTTATGAGTGTTCGTACTGATGTGTGTGTGCGGGGGGGTATGTGAGTGGGAAGGGGTGTTGTGTGTGTGTGTGTGTGTGTGTGTGTGTGTGTGCGCGCGCGTGGGAATGGGTTTGGAGGGATGTAACTACTTTATTTTCCCGTAAGAAAGTGTAAATACTCCTTTTAAAATCTCACCTTTACCCGTGATTGGCTGCCAGGCTCATTTCGTAGATCAAACTGGATCAGAAAGACGAGTTCGCGATTTTGAATTGTAATAGTATGCAAACCGGAATGATCATAAATAACTCTGATTACTTAGTATTTCTCGCGGGACGCATTATCATATAATCTAAAAAGTGATATCTAATTTGAAGGGTGGTTCATTTTGTTTCAGTTATTAATAAATGTATTATTTGCAGTTGCCTTCGATGTGTCAACTGCTGCTTAAATTACAGTTGGTAACCAAATTCAAAATGGAAACGACAACCAGAGGTGTTAAAAAGAGGACTTCATATACCAAAAAACAAGGGTACGGACAGAGAATAGTTTATGTACACACGTACAGAAAAGCTTTTGTTACGATCAATGTCTACTGACTTCATTATGAAGAATAAAAAGAAAGATGTGAACTTCCCATATTCGCATGACCTCTATTCGCATTCGCATGACCTATGACCGCAGTTTTTCTCCGGAACCATGAGTGCCCGCTGCAGTGAGGATTCACTGTTGTGCGCAGTGTCACAAAAGACATTTAATTTCTAAAATGTTTACATTTGAAGTGATGCCCATTTTTATTGACATAAAAAATTTAACCTTTGTCGTTTATTAAAGTGACAAAAAACCACAAGTCCCAGATTTGGTTAAAAAGTTAGCGAAGGTGCATCAGTTAAAAAAAGTCTTTCTCTGATAAGAAAAGAGAAGAAGATCGATTGACCTTCATCATTGCCAATTAATAAGTTTGAAACGCACTCGATCAATTATGTAGTAAGGAGTAGTAACAATACCTCATTTGCACATGGGGGCATACTGCACTTGGAAACGATATTGAGCTGACACATTCGTAGTGACGTGATATTTTGTACAAATTATATGTCTACGTACACGGAGCAGTTTAGAATAAATGTTCCAAACTTCCGAACGATTTAGAGGAATCGGAGATAATCATCTTTTACCAATTAACTTGAGGAGGTAATTTTATGTAACGAAACATGCTACACATGTGACATTCCCTCTTGGTAGTCAACTCATCCTCGACTGATGTTGGGTTGGTAGTCTTTTCGATGAAAAAAAAGTTTGTATACGTGTCAAATCGATTGCTGGTAGTGTTATCTGCTAATCAGAGGCAATAATTTGTAACTTAGTTATTCGTATGAATTATCTCACAACATATTAACTGCCAAGAAGGGCATGTAATCGAATCCCTTACATAGAACGTCCTTTTACAGTGTTGCACCAATCTTCTTTGTGCTTGAGTGTTGGTCCTCGACAGACGAAGCGTTGCCTCGCTTTACCTCACTAGCCACTTGCCCACGACATGAACTATCGCGAGCACTAAAATACTCGTAGGTTTAAAGCTATTAGGCCAGGCATACACAGCGTTTTGCCCTTTCACTGACCTCAGGTGCCTCGCGCGAGCCACTCGAGTTCAATAGCGGAAGGGTGAGTGGTGGTGCCAATGAGACTCGTTGTAGGAGTGGGGGCCACCAATGGGAACGCGCAATGCGAACCGTAGCGCGTAAATTGAAAAATCAATCGGGGAGAAGGACGGAGCGTTACATACAGTTCAAGTAATATTGCCATTTGTATTATATTTGAAATGACTATTGTCAGATGATGAGAATGTAAAATATAAACTTAAAACGAATTAGGCATACATACATTTTATTCCGACATTAAGTATTATAACTGATTGTAAGGATGATAAAGTAATTCGTTTTGCTACAACATAATCACAAATTCAGTGTGTTGCTCAAGACAAAATTATAATATTCAATAGTTTACGTTTGAAATTGACATAAAACATTTTTTCATTCACTATATTTAATTGAATAAGACGGTCCGATCAAAGCAAAAAAAATTATTGTTAAAAAATCACGATTACTTTCTACTCTTATTCACACTGTGCATTGAATATTTCGAATGTCAAATCAACAAGCCCTATTTATTCATAATAGTATTGTACATCGTATAAAAAAGATTAAACTCTTTGCGTCACCACATGCGCACCGAAATTCATTTTTGGCGTCTTCCATCAAATAAAACAATTATAACTTATCATGTTCATAAATAAAGAGATAAATTATGCATTTCAAACATAACGTGCTCAAGAGTTGTTTTCCTTCAAAAACCTGCAAATGTCATTGCTGAGCGTAAAACGATACAAATAAGAATATATAACATTTTAAAAAGGTTGTTCCCAGCGAGCTATTTTAGGATTTATGTTACTTGACATATATAAGCTGTTCACGGTTTCATCCAATCAGGTGCTAGAACGTCCCCACAGTGACGTCACCGTAGCGACATACAAGCTCCCGATTGGATGCAACGACTTGATTGTATAAAACTTGCTAACAATTATACGTATGAGTGAATAGTAATCGTAATAAAATCATTTACTATCATTATTGATCTGCTAGTACTGATGTAAACTGTGAAAAGTGTCTTTAACTTTTTATAGTGACAACTTATTTATAATTCAAATTCCTCGGATCTCGCAAAACGTTTAAAATGATCCATATTGACTTTCCACTTACGGGTAGATTTAGTTCGATAGCATTCGCCACATTTTGTTGAGCTCTCGTTACGGTAGTTGCGAGAGAAGTGGGAAGTTTAGTTATTTTTCACAAAAGGAATTTTATATACAATTTGTAGATCATTTCTAGTTGAAAAGTAGATTCTATTACATGAGAGCGAACATTTCTGGTTATCAGATTTTGCTTACAACACTCGTTACTATAATTTATTCTTAATTCAACTAATGTTGGCACAGGAGTAGGGATAGGTATTTCGGAGCTCAAGAAAACGCGCACGTAGTATAATGGCAATTACTGATCAAAAATTTTGCCTTATCTTCAAATAGTATAGAAAATACATCAAATAATATAAACGCAATTCCAATGCATCAAGATAATTCTTCAAATTAATCAACTTTTCAACAAAAACAAAATATTTCTGTCTCAAATATGCAACACATCTCAGCAAGTGATCCTCTATTGTTTCAACTTCCTCCATCTCAACAAAATAATTTTAATTTTATTCCAAATGTTTCACTAGCTTCTAAGGCAAATATGAATAATTACCATTACGTCAGGCAGTTCTCAGCAACAAAGAGATTCTCGAAAGAGAGAAAAAGTTAATTATAGTAATTTATTCAGGTAAAAGACTATAATATACTATTAGACTATAAAGGCTAAAACAATCTTCCATAAACTTCTGGAATTCTATTAGCTAATTAATATGCAATACTTTCAGATGTGCAACCAACAGACAAACAACCTTAACAAATCAAAATAATCCCATCAGTGTATCAAACGTCAATAACTTTCATAATTTCATTGCCGATTTACAAGAAATTATTAAAAGTGACTTCTCTACAAAAATAATGAAGAATGCAGTGAAAACTACATGTAGTTCAATTGAGGACTTTCGTATATATAGGGCATTTTGTGAATCAAGTAGTTTTCAATTTCATTTTTATCGTGACCCAACGATTCTAATAACCTCTGTTGTAATTAAAGACATTCCTATTAGTTATACTAATGAAGAAATATATATGGAATTACGACAATAAATTCCAGTTCTAAAAGTTTATCGCCTCTAATAAAAAACGAGAACATATTGAAAGTATTCAATAGATCTCTTAAATTAAGACGCTTCAAATATATTCAAATTTAAAAAACTGTTTCATAGTTTAATTAAAATACAAACAAAAGTTTCTCATAAAATACCTATTCAATGGAAAAAATGCCAGGGATTTGCCCATACGCAAGCAAATTGTTATTTAGACCCATGATGTGTTCGCCGTTTACAAGAACATCACTTCACAAATTGTTCTCTCCCTACAACTATTACTCCTCAATGCGTTAACTGTGGTAGTAATCATACTGCGAATTAAAAAGGTTACAAAACTTATAAAGACGTACTTCTTTCTAATAAAAAGCGTTCTTTCAATTCTCCAACTAATCCCACTTCAAAAATTGGCATTACAAGACTTAATTTAAATGTTCAAAATTTCTCTTCGTTGTCGATCGACTGGATGAAGGGACTGGATGAAGCACAACAGCTGATTTACGTCAAGCGCACGACTAAATTAATCGTACTACAGAATGGCCCAGCACTTTTCGGGCAGACGCGGTAGACAATTTCTACGTAAAGCAGCAATGCAGACGCCGTTGGAACGCAGTTTTTAAATCTGCAGCCGAACCAACTGAAGTTGAACGCGATGCACGCCAAGAGGAAAACATTTTTGTATTCCTAGACGCTATTAGTGGTTATTGACGTTCAGTGCCTTATCTAAATTCCTTGGTGGCTAATTTGTGACAGCTTAATTGTACTATTTTCAGAGGCCAGAACCATTGGATGCTGTTTGGTATTGCCGGCGATACAAATGTTCAGCACTCCTAGCGAGTGTTAAACAACGTATTTCAATGCTTTAACACTTCACATTCTATTTAATAAGACTCATAGTAATCTCACGATTTCCGTAGCATATCGTCAAAGAGGTTTACTCGTTGGTATCTCGTTTTTATTTTGCTATCTGAGATTATAACATTCCTGGTGAAAAATCAATTTTTAAGCTGTAGTATTTGTTAGAATTAAAAAATGTATTTTTAAATACACTACTGCTTTGAAATATTCTTTAAGAGTCACAATGAGCATAAACTAAAAAAATAAATTGAAATAAAATGTTGATACATAGAAGTGAACAGAAGAACATAAACAGTCAAGATATAAAATGTAATGTCCAGTATTTCTAGCTACAAGTGGAATTGTAGCTACAAATACAGGATATTACACATTTAAATAAGTGGGCAAATAATTTCGCATGAAGGGTCATCGCATTAGCCGACAAGCATTCAATCTACGAACCGCGTGATCCTCGTGCAATGGCAGGCTGCTTCTTTTCCTGCCAAACTGTCTACCCCACACCATGTGCACTTTCACCACTCTCACGGGGCGGTCGTCCGGCTCTTAAATGTAGATCGCAGAAGCTGGGGTGCAGGCTTGTGTTAGTGAAATTGTATAGAAAACTAGTGCATACTATTACTGAATACATTGTCTTTTCAATGCAGTTTAGGGAAACCTTGCATGAAACATTTAAAACAATACTAAGTGCGAACTGTACTCTATTCGCTTCATTTATTCATTTCGTGTCGATTGCAATGATGGTATATTACGTAACTGAAAAAAAAACTGCTGCTTTTTGGTGTCGCTATGATCTTTCGTCGTGATCACGTGTCTATTAAACGTCAAAGACAAGGAAAAAAGTTTGACATTTGTAAGTGTTGACTGGAGTAGACGGTTGTAAATTTTATTGTGAGCCATCTGATCCATATTATCATTTGACAAATTTAAAAAATAGTCATTTGACACTTCTGTACCAAAGGAATAAAAAGGTCTATTATTTAGCGTCTGGCAGTGTTGATACTGCGAAATATTCGTTAGATACGTTGGAATAGCAATTAGCAGGAATTGCGAGGCACATCAATAATTTTTCATCAAACAAGTGTTGTGGAAAAGAAACGACACACCATTGACAAAGATTGTTACTTGGAGAAAGAATCAACTAGTATTGAAGAGATTATCATGGTCACCTCTGTCTAGGCAAAATCAATTGTTTCGTTACGAATTTCGTCGTTTTTTACTGTATGTTAGAATGCTGAAAGGTTACCTGGCACTCCCTGAACGAACCTTGAATGTGTCCAACACGTTTTTAGTGAGCTTTCTGCACTTCGCCTCTGATGACAATGCCAGCTCATGGCGTCTAAAATTGAAATCGCTGGATTCTAAGAATGTTGACAATGTCCACATGTTTTCGCACGAGGAGCTGCCCAGGAGCTAATGCGATCTTTCGGTGACGCTCCGAACTAACAGGAAGCAGTTGTCAATCTACGTCAAGGAACTTTGTACGAAAGAAGTGAGTATATGGTCAACCGAGAAGAAATTTTCGCGGCTTTTTTTTTTTTGGATTAAATATGGCGGGAAGTTTGAAATGTATGATCTTTTTCTCAGAAATGCCTTCAAGGGACAGCAAACTGCATTATTCTCAACTGGTGCCAAATTTGAAACAATTTGGAGGTCAATGTGCCAACAGGCGTCATTAAAATCCCTTTTGTGCGTATACACGGCAAACTCCTATGAATGTTAAAGAATACGTGTCAAAGTTAAGTAGTTCCCCATTGTTGCCTTTCAGAGAGGTATATGAAGGAGTAGAGTTTCGCAGTAGTCATTTTGATTCGTACCTGAACGAATCCGCGTACGGCTTCCGGGTCGTCGGCTCGAAGGTCGCTCTCTCCCAAGTAGAAGTGTCGCATCTGCCGCACAGGCAGCTCGAGGCGCAGGCCTGGAGGCATTTCTGAGCGGAAGACATCCTCCAAGCGACGGTCCACATCTGTCCAGCCTGCGGGGCTTGCGATGAGCTGCGCCACTGTCACACAACACAATATGCACATTCCAGATGGACCCTGCCATATATATAATATATATATATATATAATATATATATATATATATTATATATATTCCATGAATAACATTGACACCAATAAAACCGTTTTTATAATAGATGTGAGAGCTGCCACAAACATCCCATAAATTCTGCCATTTTCGCTACTCTTTTTTTTTTTAAAAAAATGGCAAAGAAACATTATTTAATGGTAGTTTTATCATCGGATTTTTGGATGTTGTGGTTCCCACGTCATCCCGCAACAGTTTTCTTATCATCAAACACTTGTTTATCTTGATAACTGTGGTGGTATTTTTGGAAAACTATTTTCTGTTGCAGACTGCTAGTTACATACATTATTCACACACATAATTACGAGTTGCCTCAGATTAATTTTACATATTTCATGGGCATATAAAATAATCAAACATGATCTCTTTTTGTAAACGAAAATTCCAGGAATTTTATATAACAAAGTTACACATGTGACACTCGTCTCTGATTAATTAGCAACTCATCAGGTACTGTTGTTTGACAGGTATACAATATTTGCAATGTGATTTCGTTTTCCTAACGAACTCAGAAAATAAGTTTGCTACTAATCATGGGCAATGCCGCATGTTTTAAACTCGTTATAAGGTTTTCCAAAAAAACGTTTGTGTATTCAGAACGTTGTAATGCAAGTTGTTATATGTAAAAAGTTAAACGTTTGTTTATTCGGATATTCATTTAGTAATCCTTTTTAACGATAAGCTGGATTAATCTCGATTATCTATATACCTGTGTTATAAGGAATAATAATTTTATTCAGTTACTGTCAAGAGTGATAACGTTTTTTTATAATACTGTAGATTTTCTACTAAAGGAAGTAAAGAGTATAAATGTTTTGCAATCATTTATTATTAATTTTGTTAGAATGTTGATGAGTTTGAAAAAGCACAGCTACAAATCATAAGTTTAGGGTGTTCGAAGTGCAAATCCCCGCCCCCAACTAATTTCAGCTTATAGCTCTCGGCGAGAAAGGCAAGTATTTAGGGAGATAAGTTGGCGGTTTTTCACAGTCTGCAAACAAATAGAAAATATTTTTCTATTTGTATATTATTATTCAAACGCAGGAATCTGTCAATGAATCACCCCATAGGCATTTCGATATCCATTGACTTTTGTCACACATTGAAGTTTTTTAGAATATCCATTGAGTTTTACTGTCACCTGCTCCGACCATTCTCACATCTCGTAGGTATTTTCAAGGTAACCCAGGGTATTACATTTCAGCAGGTGAAGTTAAAAACCCTTACGGCACATGCACGTTAGGTCCTAATTATAGCGCGCCGAAGGCAATCATTCGAATTTCGCATTCCTCTATTTCGTCTTAGAAGAGTAATACGTTAGTGAGGGGAACATCAAATAGACCAAGTGATCTTCGAAATAACATATTTTTCCTCTTACTATCTGTCGTAATGCCAGTCAATAACTGCAATATCAGTGACAAAAGAACATTGAATAAACGAAAGATATTCATGCGTAGTTCATAAGATCATTCAAGTATTTTAGGAAAAAGTATATATGTTTTGACAACTGTGTATATATTATGCAGATTTTAGCATGATCTTTGAAAGCATAAACGTTTATAAGATTTTTGAGGAAAAATTAAAAATTCTTCAAAGCAAACTTCCACAAATGTACGCCTTGCATTTGGATAAATGACATCCATAATCTGAAAAAAATCGCTGTCAGATATTCTTTCTACATATACATTTCACGTTAATTTAAACATTTTTAATGAAAGTGAAAGAAAAATAGGATATATTCTAATTTTTCAAATATTCCTAGAGGTGTGCAAAGTACAAAGGTACAAAAGACGAGGTGTACAAAGCACAAAGTTGTGAAAACAAAGAGCTTTGTTTTTTGATAGACTAGTTGTTGAATAAATTATCTATTTCATTTAAAGTCATTCATGTTGTTAAATCATTTTTTATTAAAAACCTGCAAACAGTACGTTTCGAGACGCGGTGTTGCCTCTCCAAACCTTCCGTTAACAGGTTTTTAATAACAAATAATTTATTCAACAACTAGTCTGTCACCTGAAAAAAATGTGAATGTATACAGAAAGACAGAAAAATTTTCGAAATGTTTAAAAATATACGTATTACATTTGAAATCGAAGTGTTTCACACAAGTGAATCGACTTGTAAGGAGTGATACCAGATTTCCAATTAGGGAACGAAACAATTAGCTTGTAGTAAATTAAAATAATGTTATGAGTTTATGTCAATAAGATTTCGATTAGACAGCGGATTGCAGTGATTTTTGAATTTTGTTGCTCGTAATTTTTTGTCAGTCCAGTGTAATCCAATAAAATAATTAGAATTTTTTAAACTGGCTTTTGAAGTTGACCTATACGCCAAAGAATGTCATTCCTACGATGGGACAACGTAAATTGTCGACATATCATGATCCCTGTTAAAATGTCTAATAAAAAATAAAGTTAAATAGAAGCAGTTGAATATGTTTTTCAATATCACAATTTTTTTTGAAGAATCGTGATTAGTTTCAAAATTAATTAGAAGAGTTACGGTATCCCGGGAACTTATTAAGATTACAATTGCTTTAACAAGTATTAAAAATAGTGTGACGCCTATCTGTCACGAAATCACATTATACATGTGGAATCGAATTTCGGAACAGTTTTATATGCCTTAATGTAAATGAGTAAATGACATTGTAAATCTGATATCGAATCTTGAAGGATTTTAAAAGTCACAGTAAGGAAATAAAGAAAACAAAAAGCGAAAAAGGACAATGGAATCCTCGTATGGTCGCTCGCCGAGTTATCCTCTCCTATCGCACGAATATTTTATTATATCTTCCGACCTTTATTCGTTTATTTGCTTTTATTAAATGCTTTTGTGTTAAAATACATATTCTGCGTAATAAATCAGTTTTTATTTTTTACTCAATTGATAGAAGATTTAGTTTAAATTGAAAGTGTCTTCCCAATTAAGCTCGTCTAGCTTTCTCTTAATCACCAACGCTGCACATCTCTAGCGCGACCGGGGGGGGGTTAATCCTGCTATTGCAGAGTTCAGAAGCATTCGATTGCCCGGACAATCTTGCGGCGCGGACTTCCTGCACAAATGCGCAAGAGCAATCCTCCCCTCCCCTTTCTAAACCGACACTGTCACATTGCGAATACGTATTGCCCACCCCGTAAACTGCCTCAAATCTCTACTATCATATTTTATAGCGACCCTTCCCGTTTTTAATATTCTATTTCGTATGGAAACGTTCTATCCGAATAATCTATTTTGGTATCATAACCATAAACCTAACTAATGATAGGCACAAAAATAGTTTCTCTCGTGTTTCAGTTGCTCAAACATCGACACAATCGGGAACGAAGGAAACTATGTAAAAGGCGCCTTCCGACCAGCGATGTACGTTGGGCGTATATTGACGATTAAGAGCAAGAGATTCTTGCGTGTGAGGAAATTGTGGAAATCCACATGTAAATTCATAACGGTGTGAAGCGCGAGAATGAATTCACGATCAGACAGGATGAATAGTTTCCTCACCTATCATCTTGGATCCATGAACTTCAAAATAAATTCTTGTCAAATTGGTACATGCTTATGGAAATATCCAAATCAGTATCAAAGATGTGGATTATCTGTACGTGCTGAATTGCTTTACAAACTAGATGCCACGAAACGGCTGCGTGACTGCAAGTTCGGTAGCTGTTTGGTCGTTTCCACAAGTTTTCCTTCTGTAATGTGCAGAAGGAGTCGATATAATTATCCCCTAAGTTCTTCTCCTAACGGCATGGCAAAGTTAGCGGTAAATTGAACTCGTTAGGATACAACTACCTCCAGGTACCGACGGAACATCTTCAGTACTTTCCACCTTAGCATTCACCTCTCGAACGCAATTTAACGTTAAAGTTTAGCTAAGAACCAGGTTCTCCGCCGTCTCTGCGGTGACTCTAACTGGTAGCTTTTAGGGTTTGAGTCTGGACGCTGGCGAATTTTCGTAATTAGCTACATAGCTAGGTTAAATTCATCCGCTGGAGGAGAATTCTAGTTTCCGACAGTTCTGATGACTAGTTTTCCGTGGTTTCTCCGACCTACGTGCATGCCGGTGCAGTTCCCTAACAAATGGGTCACGTGCGATATTTCCTTCCTCTTCCTTTTCCTATATCCTCCCCTATCGTACACACACTTACATGCATTACTCCACTACACTTGTCGTGAGCTTAGAGATCGTTCCACCTGGAATTGTGCTCCATTGAGGGGGAGGACTTGGAGGGGGAAATCGCCCCCGAGTGAAGGTCGCCAATTCAATGGGCAAGAACACCGCCATCTACCAGGTTAAAACAAACTAGATTAATGGGACTTACGGCCAGAACAGTCGACGTGCCCAGAAACATCAATGAATAGAAAGGAATTTGGCGAAGAAGTAGTTCATTGTACTGTCTCCTTGGTTGAGTGAGTGATGAACTGAAGTTGTAGTTCAATATGAGAGTGAGGGTGATAACAGACGCATTATTTATAAAGTAATTGTTATTTTTATAATTTGAAATTGCATGCAGAAAATATCTAGCGAATCATACTTACTACAAAATATTGTAGGTATAATATTCGAATATTGAAAAAAATGAACGTTTTTGCGAAGTAGTGTACATTTCCACAAAAGTTAATCATATTTTTGCTAAATTAGAAGGTGTAAGCTCAACGAATATTTTGAGGGATTTAAAAAGAAGGCTCACATGTACTTTTCCGTATCGCTGCTCAGAAGAGTTCGAATCATCTACCAGATTCAAAAGGCTCTCTCTTCAGGTGCTACTCATACGTCGTTGTGTCACATGTTGCGTCATTAGTCTTCAGTTGAATAGATCGTCCCACGTGCTGATGAATAATGGCTTGTGAAATGAGAGAGCTGCATTTGAACGGGTTGTTTGCAAATGCCCTGCTTGGGAGTGCATACGGAAGCTGCAATACTCTTGTACGTGTCTTTTGTCTTGTAACTGTAC